GCCCAGGGAGAGGAAGGGCCCCGTTCGTAACTGCGGATCCGACATAAGTCGGATCCGCGTAACTCGGGGACTGCCTGTATATTTGAAAGTTTGTGCATCTGTTTCTCTGTCAGTTCATCTGTGAGTCTGTCAAGAACTCCTCCTAACTGGTAAGAGCTAGAACCACCCAATTTGATATGCAGCTTCCTCTTATCATCATTTAAATCAAGGTTAGGATTTGATTGTGCCAGGACAATGGGATATGCCTGGAACGTGATTGTTTCTCATCAAACAAAAGAGAGGACTGCAATAGCAGGAACAGATATACCTCAGAATGAACACAAGGGGGCAGCAACTACAGGGGATAGTTATATTCCAGAATGACCACTGGGCAGGCCACAAGCAAACGTGCCCCTGCCATCTGACTAGCCTGGAGAGCTGCAGAGCAGCCAGTGTCCAAACAACACTGTCCCAGCCACCCCGGGCCAGCCCCAAAGAGCAGCTGCTCATTCCATGAGGAGTAACGGTAGTTCAAATTAGAGAGCCTAATTCGAACTACCTACTCCGTGCTGCGTTTAGCCGTGGGCACGGAATCCACACTAAGGGGGATTTAAAAATGGTGGCGCCTGGCAAGATTCAAATGAAGCCCGGGATATTTAAATCCCAGGCTTCATTTGCAACTTCGAATGCCTACATTAGCCACCCTAGTTCGAACTAGGGTGGCAGTGTAGACATACCCCTAGAGACAATTTTCTATTTCAAAAAGTGGGGAAAGCTTCTGAGGGGAAACTAGATTTGATTTTAACAAATAGGGAAGAACTGGTTGAGAATTTGAAAATGGAAGGCAGCTTGGGTGAAAGTGATCATGAAGGAATGGTAGAAGGAAAAACAGCAAAAGAAAGACAAGTTATTTCAAGAAGGCAGACTTCAGTAAACTCAGAGAGAAAATTGGTAAGGTCCCATGGGAAGCAAGTCTAACAGGAAAAACAACTGAAGACAGATTGCAGTTTTTCAAAACAACATTATTAAGGGCAAAAGAACACATGATTACACTGCATAGGAGATAGGAAGAATGACAAGAGACCACCTTGGCTTACCCAGGAGCTCTTGAATGATCTAAAAATCAAAAAGAACTAGTACAAAAAGTGGAAACTAGGTCAAAGTACAAAAGATGAATATAAACAAATAACAAAATTAGAAAGGCAAAGGCACAAAATGAGCTCATTCTAGCTAGAAACATAAAGGATAACAAGAAAACATTCTACAAATATATTAAAAGCAAGAGGAAGACCAAGGAAGTGATAGACCCACTGCTCAATAACAAAACATGGAAATGGCAAAAGTGCTAAATGGTTTGTTTGTTTTAATTTTCACCAAAAAAGTTAGTGGCGACTGTATGACTAACATAGAGAATGATAATGGTACTGGGTTCCAAAGTTAAAATAGGGGGAAAAAACAAGTTAAAAATTACTTAGAAAAGTTAGATGTCTTCTAGTCACCAGGACCTAAAATACTCAAGGAGCTGAGGTATCTGAGCCATTAGCTATCATCTTTGAAAGGTCATGGAAGTCGAGAGTGATTCCAGAAAACTGGAAAAGGGCAAATATAGTGCCCATTTTTAAAAAGGAAAATATGGACAACCCAGGAAATTACAGACCAGTCACCTATCCCAGGAAAGATAACAGAGCAAATAATTAAGGAGTTCATCTACAAACATCTGGAAGACAACAAGGTGATAGGTAACAGTCTGCATGGATTTCATGTCAAACCAATCTGATAGCTTTCTTTGATAGGATAAAAAGCCTTGTGGATAAGGCGAATGTGGTAGATGTTGTATACCTAGACTTTAGTAAAGCATTTGATACAGTCTTGCATGACCTTCTATCAATAAACTAAGGAAATACAACCTAGATGGAGCTACTATAAGGTAGGTGCATAACTGGCTGGATAGCCATTCCCAGAGAGCAGTTATTGGTTCACAATCATGCTAGAAGGGCATAACAAGTGGGGTTCCGTATGGGGTCTGTTTTAGGACTAGTTCTGTTCACTATCTTCATCAATGATTTAGATCATGATACAGAGTACACTTATAAAGTTTGCAGATGATACCGAACTGAGAGGGGTTGCAAGTGCTTTGGAGAATAGAGTCAAAATTCAAAATGATTTGGACAAACTGAAGAAATGGTTTGAAGTAAATAAGATGAAGTTTAATAAGGACAAATGCAAAGTACTCCTCTTAGGAAGGAACAATCAGTTTCACACATATAGACTGGGAAGTAACTGTAAGAAGGAGTACCGCAAAAAGGGATCTAGGAGTCAAAGTGGATCACAAACTAAATATGAGTCAATAGTGTAACACTGTTGCAAAAAAAGCCAACTTGATTCTGGGCTATATTAACAGGATTATTGTGAGCAAGACACAAGAAGTGATTCTTTTGCTCTGCTTTGTGTGGATTAGGCCTCAATTGGGGACTGTTATCTAGTTCTGTGCCCCACATTTCAAAAAAGATGTGGAGAAATTGGAGAAGGTCCAGAGAAGAGCAACAAAAATGATTAAAGGTCTAGAAAACATGAATTAAGAGGGAAGTTTGAAAGAATTGGGCTTTTTTAGTTTAGAAAAGAGAAGACTGAGAGGGGCTATGATAGCGGTTTTCAAATATCTAAAAGAATGTTATAAGGATGAGAGAGAAAAATTATTCTCCTTGGCCTCTGAGGATAGGACAATAAGCAATGGGCTTAAATTGCAACAAGGGAGGTTTAGGTTGGACATCAGGAAAAACTTCCTACCTATCAGGGTGGTTAAGCACTAGAATAAATTGCCTAGGGAGGTTGTGGAATCTCCATCACTGGAGATATTTAAGAGCTGGTTGGACAGACACCTATCAGGGATGATCTAAATGGTGCTTGATCCTGTCATGAGGGCAGGGAACTGGACTTGATGACCTCTCGAGGTCCCTTCCAATTCTAGTATTCTATTATTCTAGTAACACACATATATTATCCACATAGTAGAATACGGGGGTCTGAAAAATCAAGTTCTTAATGTAGTAAAACACGGGGGTCTGAAAAATCAAGTTCTTAACGTTCGGGCTGTGTGCGCACATGTCCCATATTTTAACATGAATCTAAGAATAAACCAGGCTTGTGCTCTGATGTCAAGTGGAAAAAAATGTTCTTGTGTTTATGTGTGCACATGGATGTATATACTGACTATATGCTGAAAAACGTACGGTTTAAGTACATTATTGCAAAAGGTGATGCCAACTGAAAACAGAGATAAAAGTTTGATAATTATGTCAGAAATGTTAATCACTGAACCTGTTATTCCAGAAAGGTCACAACCACCATTAAATATCTCTGTTACATTGAGAGAGTGCAGTATTTCTTGTAAGTTCACTGTCTGTTCCATTTTAAATCTGTAGAGAGTAAGGAAATGAGACTCAATATAAAACTATCATCATTTAACCTCTCTGCACCTCAGTTTCAACTATCAATATTTTCCTATTCAATGAATGATTATGAATGGGAGCTGCAAACCTCATGGTTAGATCAGGAGGCAAGAAGATTAAAAACCTAGGTTAGGGTACGTCTAGACTACCGCGTTTTGTCGACGGAAGTTTTGTCGACAGATACTGTCGACAAAACTTCCGTCGACAATTTGCGTCCAGACACATGGAGTTCTGTCGACAAAGCAAGCCGCTTTGTCGACAGAACTCCATAGTCTGGACGCAGTGTTACAGGCAATAACACCTTCTGTCGACAGAGTTCTGTCGACAGAAAGTGTTATGCCTCGTAAAATGAGGTATACCAGCGTCGACAAAACCGCGGAGTTCTGTCGACGTTATGTCGACAGAACTCCGCGGTAGTGTAGATGCTGGTATTGTTTTGTCGACAAAAGTCCACTTTTGTCAACAAAACTAGGTAGTCTAGACACACCCTTAGATTCCTTGTTCTGTCACTGATTTGCTGAGTGCTTTTGAGCAAATCATTTAACCTCTCTGCACCTCAGTTTCCCAATCTATACACTGAGTAGTTGAAGGTTACATGCCCACTGATGTAAAGTGCTCTGAGATATTTGGATGAAAAGCATTATCTAAGGGTTTCATAGTAATACTATTAATATTTTGAACAAGGGAGTCTCAACACTTAAAATTATGAAGAGACCAAACATAAAGGTATTATGTGGTTGAAAACTCAAGATGTAAAATGCCATTGACATCAGCTGAACTTACAAGTGGAAAGTAAATAGTACAATTCTTTTATTTTACTTTAATTTATCTATGCAGTGTTACTAATTATTTAGATCAGTAATGTATTTAGATCAGTAATGGCTAAAATAAGCATAGGAGGGCTCACTTCAAAGCCAATGTTCATGCTCTACTATGCCATCCAGGAAGCCTAGAGTCTCATTTTGCAAGAGAATGGGTATTTAGTGGGAGAACTGAGCCTGATCCTCCACTCCTTAGTGCTTGTGTGGTCGTTTACAAAAAGATCATGCAGTGGGTATAAAATGCCATCACTCATGTAAGTGAATGAAGGGGTCTGATCTGGTAGCACTTCATACCTACTTGGAACAGGTATAAAGGTGCACACAAAGCAGTGGAAAACCAGGACCAATCTAATCCTATGTTCACTAGTCTCAGAGGGGGTAGCTGTGGGTTTTGCCCATGAAAACTTATGATACTATATCCATATTCTTGTGTGTCTGTAAGGTGCTACAGGACTACCCTATGTTCACTGACACCAGTAGCAAAATTCCCATTGACTTAAGTGGGAGCAGAATCAGGGCTTGATGTCAGTAGACTTTCTTGACTATTTTTGTGTCTAAATCCTAATTCTTCTATAAACAGAAGATTACAAGAGATAATGAAAAAACGGAATACTGAGAAGTACATTACATACCTAGGGAGGCTTATTTCTACGTCTTCCTCTTGTATATCAGCAAACCAGTCTTTTACCAGCTGAGCTGTAATTAGTTTTTCTACTTCTTCTATACTTACATCTTCTGAAGGAAGTGTTAAAACTAAGCTGAACTCCTTCCCTTTATAAGGTAATTCCAATACTTGGTAGTGCACATTATTGCCAGAAAAATGGCCTGGAAAAAAGACAGAATCATAGGCTGCAGTAAGCAAACTGCAGCCACTAGGGCCATGTCACATTAGGAAATTATTTTGAATTCACTAAATTCGACTTATGGACTCCCGATTTAACAAATTCGAACTTGCATGTCCTCACTATGGGGAAGCATCGAAATTAGTCTGAAAGAGCATGTCCACATTTAACAGAGCCTTCCTCAGACTTAGAGCCCCCGCAAGCATCATGTCCACATTCAACAGAGCCTGCCTCAGACTTAGAGCCCCCGCAAGCACTCTGGGGAGTGCACTAGGGCTATGTCTACACTGCAGGCTTCTTGCGCAAGAAGCTTTTTGCAGAAGAGATCTTCGCAAAAACTTCTTGTACAAGAGCGTGTCCACATTACAAAAGTGCAACACAAAAGCGATGTGCTTTTATGCAAGAGAGCGTCCACACTGCATAGATGCTCTTTCGCAAGAAAGCTCTGATTGCCATTCACAGAATGGCCACCAGGGCAGCTGTGCTTCTTTTGATATACTGTTTTTGCACAGGAAACCCGTTTGCTGTCCACACACACCTTTTTGTGCAAGAGCTCTTGAGCAAAAAGACTTATTCCTCATAGAAAGAGGAATAACTCTTGTGCAAAAAGCCCTCTCTTCTTCCGATTTACTGTAAATTTACTTGCGCATAGTGTGGACGCGCCGAGTTCTTGTGCAAAAACTCTGCAGTATAGACAGAGCCTAGGAGGGTGGATACTTCCTGTGGCTGAGTGGTCTGGCAAATTGTGATGGGTGCTTACAGGGACTCCTCTCCATGACCGCGTCTCACAAGGCACTCCTCCACTCCCTCCCCCGTCATGGGGCAGAAAAGGAATGCAGTGGGCATGCGCCTTGTTGTGCTTTGGTTGCCAGCTCAGATATCACAGCACTGCCACCCTGGAGCCAGAGCTGCTGCAAAGCAGTGCATGCTCATAGCTCTCATGCTGCACCTTATGGTGCAGTACTATGAGAGTGCCCGCATATTGCTCCAGCAGGAACAGGACAAGGATGAGGAGCACAAACCCTGGTGTGGCCTGCAGGCCCTGCTCATCCAGGTCCTGGTGCTCCTGCTACTGTGCACACCCCTCAGTTCTCTGGACACAGTGGAACACTGCTTCTGGCGGAGGGAAATGAGTTCGGACTGGTGGGACCATATTGCCATGCAGGGATGGGACAATCACCAGTGGCTGCAGAGCTTGCACATGTGCAAGGCCACCTTCCTTGAACTGTGCAAGTGGCTTGCCCCTGCCCTCAGGTGACAAAACACCCAACCGAGACCCACAATCCCCATGCAGAAGTGTGTTGCCATTGCTCTCTGGAAGCTTGCCACACCAGGCAGTTACTGCTCATTTGGGAAATGGTTCTGAGTGGGGAAATCCACAGCTGGGACTGTGCTCAGACAAGTAGCTGAGTACAACTATGTCCTACTACTCTGGGCAACATGGACAGCATTGTGGACAACTTTGCCAACATGGGCTTCCCCAACTGTGTTGAGGGGGCACAGATAGAATTCACATCCCCATCCCAAGCACCGGGCTTTGGAGTACATCAGTTGCAAGGAGCACTTCTCCATGGTGCTGCATGCGCTTGTAGATCACAAGGGATGTTTCACCAATATCAGTGTTGGATGGTCAGGAAAGGCGCATGATGCCTGCATGTTTCAGAACTTCTGCCTCTTCTGAAAGATGCATGCTGGTACTTTTTTCCACCACCAGACAATCAGAGTCAGAGAGGTGGTCATGCCCATTATAATTCTGGGTGATGCAGCTTCCCCCTTGCTCGCCTGGCTCATTAAGCCCTGCATGGGCAGCCTGGACCTCAGCAAGGAGGAGTTCAATAACAGGCTGAATAAGTGCAGAATGGTGGTGGAATGTGCATTTGGGCATTTAAAGGGGAAATTCAGGAGTCTCCTCACCCACCTGGACCTCACCGAGTGCAATATTCCTTTTATAGTGGGGGTCTGTTGTGTGCTCCACAACATGTGAGAGAATAAGGGGGAGACTTTTCTGCCAGGGTGGGGGACTGAAGCAAAATGCCAGGTAGTTTGAGCAGCTGGATACCAGTGCCATAAGGAGAGCACAGCAAGGGGCTGTGCTCATCAGAGAGGCCTTGAAGGACAGTTTTATGCAAGGCCAGTTCTGAGACTTTCCTCCATGGCTCTCCATAAGGAGCCCCTGCATTCTCTGTGTATGCTTTTCAACACCTCCCTTTCCCTGCTCTTCCCCCCCTGCAGAGCAAACTATAAAGAGATTTTTTTATGAACAAACAGTAGTCTTTATTTGGGGGACATACAACAGGGGTAGGAATTGAAAAATAACCTGGAATGAAGGAGGGGGGCTCAGAGAAGGGGCTGGGACCGGCATCTGCCTTCAGGTGGATTGGAGGGCCTAGCTGCCTTAGAGCTCATCCCCATCCCCCAATGTTCTGGGGCCCCGGCAGCCCCTGGGGACCCTTGCAGTGGAAGCCATCAGGCAAGCAGGGAGGTGGCTGCATGATGCCACATACTCCGTCACCATGTTGAGAGTGAAGAACATGTTCTTGTGCTGGCGTGTCAGCTCTTTCCAGGCGGCCTTTCCCTTTCCCTCGCTGCTCCTCTCTCTCTTGGTGAGTCACTCCAGAGCTCTACCTCGAACCCCTGCACAAGGCACTGCAAGGAGACCATCTTCTCCCTCATGAGCTCATTCCAGGTTCTTTTTCACCTGCAGATCCTGCTCAGGTGGGTAGATGCAGTAGGAGGTGGGGGACATGTCCAGTTCTCAGCTGTCCCAGCTGTGAAGACAGGTTACAAGGACAGTCATCACAGGAGACACTGTGTATTGAGCCTAGCCCTAGTCTCGAGCTGACACCGAAGGTCTCTGTTCAGACAATGGCAATGTGCTTCGAGCAAGGCCATATGTTGCTTAGAAAGCAGGCACTTTCCAGCAGGTGCATAGACATCCCAGGAGAGCATCAGAACACACACTGCTTGGGGATAAGCAGGCATGGGAAGGTGCTAGCCACACCTAGAGGTGGGACGGGGCAGCTCAGCTTCTTTCGGTGGCTCGCACACACCAGGTCCGGCACTCACAAGGTCTCACTGAGGGCACGTCTAGACTACAAGCCTCTGTCGCCAGAGGCATGTAGATTAGGCTACCAGGCATAGGAAAATGAAGCGGTGATTTAAATAATCGCCGCTTCATTTAAATTTACGTGGCTGCCGCACTGAGCCGATCAGCTGTTTGTCAGCTCAGCGCAGTAGTCTGGATGCACAGGTGTTGACATCAAAGGTATTTGTCGACCACCCAGGTAAACCTCATCCCAGGAGGCATACCTGGGTGGTCGACAAATGCCTTTGATGTCGACACCCGCGCATCCAGACTACCGTGCTGAGCCGACAAACAGCTGATCGGCTCAGCGGGGCAGCCATGTAAATTTAAATGAAGCGGCGATTATTTAAATCACTGCTTCATTTCCCTATGCCTGGTAGCCTAATCTACATGCCTCTGGCAACAGAGGCATGTAGTCTAGATGTACCCAGAGAGAGAACTTCTATCCCTGCCCACCGGAAGAGGGATGGTTGGGGGATGTGTGTGAGTGGCAGACACTGCTTGCCAGAGAGAGTGCTAATGGGTTCTTCTCTTCTTCCTTCTCCCAGCAGGTTCCCATGCACAATATCAGTCTTCTCCACATCACCATGCTCAATCAGGAGCAAATTCTGACTGAGGGCAGCCGTGATCCTGGGCCATGTGCTGCACTGCTGTGTGGTTCCATGACCACAGCATGGGAAGGTATCCTATCACGGAGGCCAGAATAAGACAGTCATCTCCAGGAACCTTGTAAAAAGGACCAAGAGGTTCCTGTGTGAGAGCATCATGGAGCTGAGTGCTTTAGACTGGTGCTCCGTGTGCAGACACATGAACAAGCTGTTCTGCGATCCCCATGCCAAGTAAGCTGAGAAAGGTGTGTGGCCCCTGGCAACCCATTGCCTTACCCTGCTTGTAGATACAGAAAGTTAAAGAACTCACCAAAAGCACCCTCCCCAAGGTCATCGGAAGCCTGGGAGATGTCCTGGGAAGGGAGAACCGGCTCCTAGGTGAGAAGCAGCCCCTGGCTCTGAGGCATCATCACCTGGCTGGCTTCCTCTTCCTCCTCCACATGGTTGTCCTCCTCCTCTGCCATCCCACCTTACTGCCGGCTGACACCAGGCATGTCTTGGCCAGACTCAATGAGTGTGGCGGGGGAGGTTACATACCCCCTCCCAGGATGACATCCAGCTGTTCATAATAATGGCAGGTGTGAGGTGCCGCCCTAGAGTGTCCCATCTGCTCCCTGGCCCTCTGGTAGGCCTGGTGAAGGTCTTTTATATTAAGCCTGAACTGCACCAGGTTCCTTCTGTGGCTTTCTCTGCCAGACTGGCAGCAATCCTACGGTAGATGTCGGTGTTCCTCTTCTTGGTGCGGCGGTTCTGGAGGTTGGACTCCTCCTCTCACACCTCAGTGAGGTCCAGGATCTTCGTACCAGTCCAGGCTGAAACTCTTTTGTGTCTCTTGGCAGTAGAGACCATGAGAGCAGCTGAAGTGCTGACAGCCATCGGAGGGTCCAATGGAGCTTTGGGGGTAGTCATGTCTCACAGTGATGCTACCTCACACAGGGCTCATGAAACTGGACATATGGGACTGGCCCTTCTCCTTTTCCCAGGACTTTTAGAACTCTACAGAAGGAGGAGAGCAGTGGAGATGCCAGGTGTGGCCAGAGCAGTCAGAACTGACAGCTGCAGGAAGCCTCTGGAGACCAATTAGTTTGAATTAGTGGTACCGGAGTGTCCACACTGATATTTTTTCAAACACGTTCCAGAATTAGCATTATTCCTTGTGAAAGCAGGAGTGCAGAGTTTGAATTCTGCAGCTCCTTATTTCAAAATAACAGGCTTGGTAATGTGGACATACTGCTTACCAATTTGAACTTGGAGTGGACGGGTGTATTTTGGCCTAAGATCCTAGATCAGGTTTAGGACAATGTGTATGATGTTATGGGCATCACACAGGCATGCATATTTTACGTTACCAAATTTTGTTCTCATCTGAAGATGCATCATTGGTATCTTAATTACAGAACCATCTCTCTTAGTAAAATCCATATCATGGGTAGCTTCTTGTCTGAACTTCTGCTTCCAGTCTCCTTTGAAGTAAATAGCATTCACCAGAATAAGCCTAGTGAGAGGACCAAATTCTTCACTTGACACAATATTTTTTATTTTGCCTAGGGAGAAAAATGTACACAAACAAAATTTTTAGTCACTATAAATACCAACTAGTCTATTTTAAACACAATTCAAATGAACATACATGCACTATGCAGAATGTGATTTTAAAGATTTCCACAAATGGTGGGGGGTGGGAAGAAGGCTATTGCCCTCTGACGTGAGAAAATAGTTTGTCATTACACTTTTGTCCCAGTGAAGTGGATGGGATTTTGCTATTGACATACATGGGAACCGGTCATGTTCATTATGTTAGGAAGATTTTGTGTTCAATAAGGAATATAATACTTTCCTGCAGAGTTCCAGATTATTTTGATATTGTCACAGCATTCTGCTCCAGAATGAAGGTTTAAATGAACTTTCAACTTCCCCTAATAAAAAATATCTTCATATTAAGAATGGCATGTAAGTGATGTAAGGATGTCTATCTGAGGCTGCAGACATTATCTAAATGGATGTTGAATAATCATGCTGAATAATTTAAATTCCAATATTAACCATTTCATTGCTTCTTGGAGCACAAATATCAAGCTCATTTGCTTCTCCATTGTTGCTGACTTTAGCAGCAGATAGTTAATTGGTGTGTATAGTTGCTTTGGTAAGGAATGATCAATTCAAATGCCTTTTGCCTCCAGATTTAAAGTTATTTTTACATATACGTCTACACTACAGAAGAAGATCAAAGCTGCTGCTGTTGATCTTCCAGGGTTTGTATTAGTGGGTCCAGTTAAGACAGCTAATTCAAAGTGAGAAGGGCACTCAAGTCAACGCTGGTAACCCTGCTTTCACAAGGAGTAAGGGAAGTCAAAGGAAGAGGGTTCTTCCTTAGACTTCCTGCAGTGTAAATAGTGCCAAAATCCGAGTTAAGCTACTTCAATTTCAGCTACGTGATTAACATATCTGAAGTTGCGTATCTGTGTCCCATAGTGTAGACATACCCCACCTGTCTGAAAGGGAAAGGAGAAGACCTACCAAGCTCCGAAATGACTCCAGAATAACAGCACCTTCCGCACCACTCATCACTACTGGATACCAAAATCCCCCTTTGTCCTATATCCAGCTTCCAAAGCCTTCAACTTTCCCCTGATAACTTTATTGGTTCAGTTATTTGATGTCAATACAAAATGTGTAACAAATTAGAGTTAAAATATAGGAGCAGCATAAAATAAATGGGATGTTATCAAATTAAGTAATGCCCAAATAGCTTATTAATTGGAGTAGAAAGGTCAGAGAAAGATTAGACAGAGTTACGTAATTCTGAAGACCCTCTTGTGAAATTAAGGATGAACATTTCACATTGTTGGGCATGGAGCTTTGGCTATAATTAACAGTGAGAGCTGTGTAAATTGCTTCTAGTCTCAATATTTACACGAAGTATCAGAGTTTATTTAGCAGCTGTTTAGTGTTCTGAAGATGAATAGATATTACTAACATGTATTAATGATTTACAATAAATGTGAGAAACGGAGCACTTGTTATTAACAAATTATCTACTTGGCAAGAAGTAATAATTTCCTAAAACCTGTAGTTGTATACAAATGACATACTAAATAATTTTCTTAAGAAATGTGTTCCATGGCTATGAATTAAAAGAAGATCATTAGAGTTAGTAAAGATCATGACATTTTTCTCCATTTAAGGGCTAGTTGCTGGTGTTAATAACAGCCCATATTGGAAACAAGGTACTAACTTCTAGATTCCTTCTTGAAAAGTCTCTGATTTGTCCCAGTATATATATTTTAGGACATTAAAAGGGAAGAAATTAACTAGCAAACAATGATTTTATAAAATCTGTAGAGAGAGTTTACCATCTGTTTTGTTTTCTACCCAGGTACTTATGGTCTCCGCACAAGCTTTTGGGTCTTGGAAATTCACCAGTTTTATAGCAGCCTGAAAAAATTCCTTGTTGCTATGGAGATACTGTTCTTTTACAATGAATCCTTCTTGAAGGTAGAGGGCATTGGCAAGATTAAATGTAAATTCTTTCTTTTCTGAGGTGACAGAGAAAAGTGTCTGGAGCAGCAGAGAGAATTCTTCACCTAAGGAAAATAAATGTTAATAGTAGCATCTTCATTTGAAGAACATAAAACAGCTGTGTAATAGCATCGTTTTCCACATACAAAATGGACTCCATAATTCCCTGAAGCTTCAGGTGCAGTACAACAAAGCCTGCCTTTGTAAATGAGCAATAATATTCTGAATGTTCCCTTTATGTAAATTTCAGGAAAAAAAATAGAAGATCAAAATTGTCCCACTCCTGGTCCTAGCCGCAGAATACAGGCCCCTTCTACTCAAGCTACCTTGTAAAGATAATGAGTAAGGTGACCAGACATTTCCCAAAATTGTCAGTGGTTTGAAGGCTTCTTCCAACATCACTGTCAGAGTTGTAGAAAAAATATTGTTCTTTTTATTGTAAGCTACTGCAGGCACAAGCCACCTGCAGATGCAGAGAAGAAAATACAGTAAAAGGGTTCAAGACTTGAAAACACTAAGGGATTAAATACTACCCTCACAAAGTTTGATTCTGAAAGCAATGAGCATTTCTCATTGGGGGATGAGAGGAGAGATAGATGAGTAGTAACTCTCTTGTCCTCTCTCCCAACCAAAACTACTCCTCCACCTCCACTAAAAACATTCTCTCTCCTAGTCTTCTTGAATGAAAGGTATAAACCTATTCTATATAAGGACAACATGCATTAGACTCCACATGCAAGATTAATTCACAACATCAGCTGTAGTACAGAGACAGATCGTGCCTCTCCTTACTCTCTCTGGATGTACCTTACTCTAATGAAATCAGTGGAACTATACCTAGAACAGTGGTCCCCAACGTGGTGCCCGCAGGCACCATGATACCCGCTACAGCATTTATGTGCGCCCGTCGAGTGATCAGGGCCGGCCTCGGCCCCGGGTGCATGGCGCATGGGCGGCCCCACCCCGGATGCCCGGCGCGTGAGCAGCCCTGCCCCTGAGTGCCCAGCAGCCCCAAAAGGTTGGGGACCACAGACCTAGAATAAGATATTACTGAGCATGAATAAGGGTGACAAAGGGTGCATCTACACAGCACAGTTATTTCAAAATAACTGACCTTATTTCAAAATAACAATGTAAGCATATACACAGCAATTCTGTTATTTCAAAATAATTTGAAATAATGGATGGCTTATTCCAATTTCTGTAAACCTCATTCCACAAGGAATAATGCCTGTTCTGAAATAGCTATTTCAAAATAGCTATAGTGTGGATGCTTCACGGTTGCTATTTCGAAATAGCTCCTTTCCAGGGCCATTCAAACTACTTATTCTCTAGTGCCTCCTCTGACTCTAAATCAGAGTTTCCCAACCTATGGGTAGGGACCCAAATATAGGTCACCATTAAATTTCAAAAGGGTTGCCCTGTGTCTCCCCAGGTGGCTCTAAAGGAGCCATTCACACATTTTTTTGAATTGCCATGGGTCACCAAGTCTTCCTGAATTGTCAAAATAGATCCCCATCTGGAAAAGGTTGGGAACCGCTGCTCTAAATCAAGGTAGCATATCAACATTAGGGGAGCCTGCCTCAGACCAATTTTGGGGCTTCCCTGTAGTGTAGATGAGCTATTTCGAAATAAGTTATTCCAGAGTATTTCTTCTGGAATAGCAGATTTCAAAAGAAGCATGCAGTGCAGATGTACCCCAAGTCTGACTCTTTTAACCTACATGCTCCTTCAAAGGATCACATTTAATGAGCAAAGCATGAACTATATCTATTTAAATACAAAGAAAATGAATCTCATTGATACACTAATTAAAAAGGTACTATGAGTTATCATTCCCAAGTCTGACTCTGCACGCTTTTCAGCACTGGTAACATGGTTGATAGAGAAGAGTTTTGAAGTCACTTTCAGATGCTCAGGCTAACCTTATCTTTCTTAAAAAACAATGAATAGTCTACCAACACCTTAAAGACTAACAAAACATATAGATGATATCATGAGCTTTCGTGGGTACAACCCGAAGAAGTGGGTTGTACGCACAAAAGCTCAATACCATCTACATGTTTTGTTAGTCTTTGAGGTGCTGCTAGACTATTCATTGTTTACGTTTTTCCAGTTACAGACTAACTCAGCTACCTGCTGAAGCTTATCTTTCTTGAAAGATAATGCCAGGGGCAGATAATGAGAGAACCCCTACGGAGTGTTGTTACACTTCAAAATTCACAATGTATTGATTATATATTTGATTTTCTTAAAAGTTCCCAAGCCAAATGCATTCCTGAAGTCACTCCACTGAAGTCAATCCTTGCATCAGAGCTGAATTTTGACCTCCCAGATTAATTTAACTCTACAATTTAATACATGTAAAAATGCAGATTGCAGTACATCTTCTCTCTTATGTCCCAGGCTCAGCTCATTCTGTTCTTTTCTGTCACATCTTTATAACAACACAGAGAGATGAAATTCATTCAATGTTGTAACCACCCACCCTAATTAGTTTCCATTAGTGCCATATGGTACTGCAAAGGCATTTTAGAAACATTCCTTTCTGCCAATGTCTGTTTAAATATTTTCTTTAAAAAAATGTTTAGTAATCATGTGTTTGAATGAATGGATTTATGTCCCTATGAATGTGCCATATATGTCCAGCTGTCCCTTGATAAGTTATTCCTGGGAGTCTCTGGGGAAAAAAGCATTGTACCCAACAAAATGCTTCAAAGAAACGTTTAAAGTACATTTTGCACATTGGATTTGATCTGCAGATCAATTATCTCTAATTGTACAGATTGCATTAAAACTATTCACATCAAATAAAATTGACTACTACATTTCCTGAAACCTGTAATTGAATACAGGCTTCCATTATTTCTACTTCTAGCTGTTAAGAAGGCAGTGTTTTGGGTACAAGATGTGCACATTTTAACATCATTTAGCCAATAGATTTTTGTAAGTCTTTTTCACTGTAGAATTAGTGTGGGATTTTTTTAAATTGGTAATGACTTTCCTATTACTTTTAATTAAAGATGATATTAAATATAAATAAAGAAGTGGAGGCCAGGGGTGAGTGACTGGAGTTGACTTCTTCTATTCCTTAGTCTAGATAGTGTTTGGGAGCACTGCACTCTGTAAGTAGTCTCAAGACTTCAGTGAAACTATTTATAGATAGGGTAAGGTTCATAGATAGATAGATATAGATATAGCTATATAGATATAGTAATAAAGCCCTACTAAATTCATGGTCGATGTTGGTGAATTTCATGATCATAAGATTTTAAAGGTCATAACAAGATTTCAGATATTAAATTTGGAATTGTATGGTGTTGTAACTGTAGGGGTCCTGACGCAAAAAGCGGTTGGGGATGCGGATGTTGCAAGGGTATTGTAGGGGGTCACAGTCTTGCCACCCTTACTTCTGTAGTAGTGCTGGTGGTAGCGCTGCCTTCAGAGCTGGGCAGCCAGAGAGTGGTGGCTGCTGGCTGGGAGCCCAGCTCTGAAAGCAGTGCCACTGCCAGCAGCAGCACAGAAGTAAGGATGGCATGTATAGTATTCTTATAAATTTCAGTGACTGACTGGCTGCTCAGAGGAACCTGTTCTGAGAATATAAACAACACTAAATCAAGATACTCACTATCTTCATTTCCTTGCAGATTCAAAGCGTGTCTTATCTCATTAAGTGCTTTTCCTTTTGCCCCCAATTGAATCATTCCAAGAAGTAAGGCAGTACCAAGTGGTGAGTGTATGATGTTCTCTTTAAAACAGTGAAGAACTTGGTAGAGATCCACTGCAAGATGTGTAGTGCTGTCAGCCATTAGATTAGAAATGGGGCTGCAAGTTAAGTATGTTCCGGCTGTAATCAAGAGCAGGCTTTGAAATAAAGCACTTCTCATCATAGCTCGATTTACTGCAGTTTTTTCTCCTCTGAATGATTAGAACTGAAAACACATGTTAAGAAACAGGATGGTGATTTAACTTTATGCTACCACACTGGTCTGAAGATATGATAAACAGTGTTAAGCTCCTTTATGTAGTTTTATTGGTTAGTTTATTTATCTTACCCATAAATTACACACCCTGTACAAAAGAAACTTGACAACACTAGGAAATGTTACCTTTGATCGTTAATAAAACCCTATGTAAATCATCCCCTAAAGTAAAGTACTATACCTATAAAGAGGTTTAATCATGCTATAATCTTGATAAACAGAAAGCTATATAAAAATAGGTTGAAGTGAATATTTAAAGAGTATTTGCAAGTATAATTTTGTGCAACTTTGGCATAATGTATGTACTGTTCCCCAATTACGTTCATTGTTTACCACTGTTTGAAGATATCCTTTGACAAATCATAGAAAGGGAGAAGCAATGTGCAGTCAGTAAGTAAGTCTATACAGTCAGTTAAGATACTGATCCATTTAATTGATACTGACAACAACTATATTCACGCAGCTGTGTTACCACATGCTTATGTAGCAAAAAATACCAAGCTGTGCTTGATTTTGAGTGGAAAACACTATTCCAAATGGAGATGGTCTGTAACTGAAAAATATTGATCTGAATCCATACTTCTAATAACTTGAATTTTAGGATATTTGGATCTGGGATTTTGAATCACTGTATTAAGTTAAGAGGGGAGCAGTTGTACAATTCAGATCATGGGTGAAGTTTCAGACTATAAAGTGTGTTTAAATCCAGGATTTTGGTTTGGAACACTCTTGAATTCCAGACCAAATGCTGTTTCAGAAATTAGTTTCAAAATACAAATATGAATTTGAAAAGACAATAGAATTTTAAAAGCGCTCTTCATATCTCCAAGTCTATCACAAAAGCATTTTTATAAATAAGAAAATAAATTCTGATACAGTAATACAGCAGATATTACGAAACTGAAAATTAGCTCACATGAAGCCTAGAATACAATGAAATCCCCCCTGATCAAGAGTTACTGTGGAATCATTAAATTTCCACTGAGCAAGTACTAAGGGCAAATAGAAGGAGATCTCTAACTATGTCAGCATTAAGTAGAAGCTGGAATCATGCTCGGAAACTAGAGATTGGAATTTTTAAAGAAATCTGAGGAAGCCTTCCTTGATTCTTTTGAGTAATCTCAACCTAAACCCCTAAATGTCCACTATCACCTACCTTACACTAAATTCATAATTCAAAGCCCACTGATATCACTGGCTTTTAATGGCTTTAAGCCCGAAAACATTAAGTTTGCAGAGCTATAATTTGAATTCAGTTACAATCACCCACTACCATTGAAGTCAATGAAAGCACTTCCATTGATTTCAGCGGAAATAAGAATCAGGCCCCTTACTTACTACTGTCATACCTTAAGAAAGGAATAGCTAAAAGGAATTTGGAGTAGGCAATAATAAAGATACAAAGCTACATAATTTAAATGTTAGGGTTTATTTTATATTAATAGCAACCAGCAATCATTTACTGTTCTCAAAAGCCATTTAAAGAATTAATGCACATGCTTACCTGGAAAACCGTATCGTATCTCTCCACTGTTCACAGCAACATTACACTTAAAAATTGGTTTGCCTTGAAACAAAAAGTTAAGAGCAACAAGGACAAGGACACAATATGTTTATCACAAAAAGCCTCATGATTAATGAACCAAAACCCACAACAGATGGCCACAAAGTTTATCGTGAAAATTTGTCTTTCCAAAATGTGTCAACATTAATTGGGATGTCTTGCCTTGTGTAAGAAATGAAGGGAGGGAACAGTGCTTCAGTTTAATGGGACAACAGCATAACTCAGAAACGTGACCACAGTTCTAATGTGCCCTTCTGAGCTTTTTTTAGTTTATGTGGAGTCTGCATTTGAAAACAGAACTACGGAGCATCCTCCTGAATTGATGCACAAAAAAATGGTTATTTTTTTCATGTGGTTTCACCTGCAAATTGCAAATATATCAAGCATGGTGAAAATACATATTTTAAACATAGCTGGGAGGGGAAAGGGGACGAAGGGTTACATATTTTTAGCCCTGTCCTGTTGTAAAGAATAGCGTAGAACATCGGAAGGCTCTTGCCTGTGCAAGGCACAGTGCTGTCTGGGGCAATGGCTGGAAGAAGGCTCCTTATTCCATCCTCTCACATAGCTACATAAGGACTGGCACAGTTTTAGCCTAAACAGTTTAATGCAACAAGCAGTGATAAAATACTAGAACGCTGTAGAATAGATATAAGGAATACAAGACAATATGGGGTAGAAGTTTTAGAGTATCATTACACAGGAATTAAAAGCCCACAGCTGGCCTACTAGCTCAGGCTCCTGGTGTTCAAATTAAGGGGCTACTTGACTGCAGTGTAGATATTTGGGCTTGGGCTGGAGCCTGGGGTTTAGGAGCCCTGGGGTTTAGGAGTCCCAGAACTCCGGCTGCAGCATGAGCTCAAATGTCTATACCACAGTTAAACAGCCCCTTAGTCCAAGCACCTTAGCCCGAGTCTGCTGCTGTGCACTAGACACAGGTATCTGACTACAGTGTAGACATACTCTAAATCAGACTGGGTATGGAATGGGCCCATCACAAGTTATGCAAGTCATTCCAGGTGCATGCCAATAAAAAAAATTGATAAAATACTACTCCCAGACATCTGACATAGCCTGAAAGTGGTACAGAAATAGTATGAGAAAGTCAATACAGGTGAAACCTCTCTAGTCTGGCAACATCCATGGAATACCTCAGTTTTTCCTTTATACGGTTTGGTTCTTTGATCTTGATTTCTTGTAACAAGTTATCAGCAGAGAAAGGCCTACCCCGAATGCAGGGCTGCAAAAGGCTACATTTTGGCATAATCAGAAGTGGGGAGTTTGCATTCACTACCTCTTAGAGTTTGGCCTCGCAAACCACTTAACACCTTTTATTCAAAAAGTACATTTTTATGTGGCACATTGTTCAATATAGTCAGGTCTCAAACTGTATCCCTCTCCCCTGAGAGTTTACATACAATCTTGGCACATAATAAAACATAAACAATTAATACAATGGAATCCAAGGATTTTAAAGGTAATTCAATCCAGAATCCCAAGGACATAGCAGAAAATGCAATACCTTTTCCCTAACCTCTATGTACTTATCGATCCTACTGTACGCTTCTCAGAGCAGAGAACGTATTTCAGGGTTTGAAAAGAACCAAGCACACAGTGAGCACTACCATAAAAAATACAGAAAGTAATAAGATCGTGGAATATGTGAAATGGCTGCAGGTAATCTTGTCATATATTATAATACCCCCCACACATTTATGCTGCTTTATAAATAACATGTTGGCAAAGTTATAGTACAGTTAAATTGATAATAGGCACTACTTGTTACAGTAAGTAAATAATTTTCAAGACAGAAAAGTGAGATTTTTGACTGCACTGCTTCTCTTAAGAAATAAATTTACACACACTTAGGAACAAAATAAAGTTTACAACCGCCCAAAAACAGATGTATCAGTTCTTTTTGCTATAAAAGTGTTATGGGAAGTCTTCACTTTTGAGGTCTCTTCTTTTATTGTCTTGCATGCTTGTGCTTGACTTTTTAGTGTAAAATTGTTCACTGATATTTATTTCCATATTGTCAAGCTGATCAAAAACAGCTCTGAAAGGAAGATGTTGAATTATACATATGCTTTATTTATTTATACATGCATACATACATACATACATAGTTCTGCTACGAGTGCAGGGGACTGGACTAGATGGCCTCTCAAGGTCCCTTCCTGTCCTACAATCCAATGATTTTTCAACAGTCTTTTTAGTTTTAATTAGGGACGTTAAATATCGGTTAATTGAATAGTGATTAACCTCATGAATTCTTATCGGTTACTCAACTATTCTGTAGTGCCCAAGGGTGGGGCCAGCAGCCAGTGTGCTCCAGCCCCACTCCTGAAGAGCTCCCTGCCACTCTGTGCTGCTGCTTGTGTGGGATGCTAGGCAGGAGCTAGTCCATGAGGGGAGCCAGTTTAAAAACCAGCTGCCGTTGTCCTGCGCTGCTGCCTCTGATACACAGGCAGCAGTGCAGGGTGGCAGCAGCCCCTGTTCAGGAGAGGTCTGAGAGCTCCCAGTGCAAGTTGGGACTGAGCTGGGCTGCCTGCCTCCTAGTACACTTCCAATGCAGAGCTGCAGCAGGGGTAGATACTAGACCTAGTACACGTCCAATGCAGAGCTGCAGCAGGGGTAGATACTAGACACGTCACAAGCCAGGACTGATCAAGGCTGCTGGCCAGCCTGCTAAAATATTTACTAGTGTGGGGAAGGGAGGAAATGCGTGTAGTCTATAGCGTTAACCTGTAAGCTTTTGCTTATTGGTTAATCGACTACACTATTACAACCCTAGTTTTAACATTATAATATGACTATTTATTAATGTCATTGCAGTGCTTTTATAAAGTATATTTTGTTTGCTTTAAATAACTTTTATCATGAGTTTATCTAACGTTTTGAAATTCATAAGGGGAAAAAAATTGATTGCCTGCTTCCAGTCAAAACTAGCATTCTAATCCTTTAAACACTTACACAAAAGTTTGTTTACATATATGAATACTTTTATTGAACTCAGTGGGGAATCGCATTTAAGAGTTTGCAGGATTAGGTCTGCAAAATTATCCAAATTAGCAACCCTCTGGAATATCCAGAAACTTCCAATTTTTTCCAAATGGCTGATTGAGTCCTCTTACTTCAGTGAGACTTACATGAGTCAAGTTACACACATTGACTATCTGGTGGCAGGAAAAGGTCCTGTAAATACTGTGTAAGGAGCAGGTCTTAAGAAAATACCAAAAGATCTGACCCTAAAAATAAGGCTTACTCTGTTAAAAAGTTTGTGGTAAAGCCAGCTACATTCTAGATATGGCATTCTTTGCATTTACCTTTGTTGTAACAACAGGAAGGGTTATTTTTCTTTCAACTTTGCTTGCTTTTTATTTCTTTTTCTCTTGCCTTCATTGTACATTTGCTCACATAGTTGCCTTGCTTTTTGTTCACGATCCAGAATTTCTTTTGGGAACAGGCTATTCTCATCAAATACAGCTTTCAAGGCTATAAAACAGGAATGAAATGCACATCAAAATCAATCATGTTTGGTAAGATACACTGTTAAAAAGAAAGCCACTAGAGGGAGGAAAAACAGCAACAAAGCCAGAATAAATCAGCGAGAGCAATTCTGACTTTTTGCTGCCTGATTTGCTAAGAAAATACATTTTGCTCATCTTTCTTTGGCTTAATCTGAACATTAAGCATTTAGGTCCAGATTCTGCAAAGAATCTTGATCGGTGAAGTCCTGTGCCCAAGTAGGGTGTGTCTATACAGCAAAGTAATTTCAGAATAACAGTAGTTGTTTGTAGGGTGTGTCTACACAGCAAAGTAATTTCAGAATAACAGTAGTTGTTCCGAAATAACTATGAGAGCATCTACACAGCAATTCCATTATTTCAAAATAATTTTGAAATAACGGATGGCTTATTCCGACTTCTGTAAACCTCATTCTGCAAAGAATAATGTCTATTCCAAACTAGCTATTTCGAAATAAGGCATGTGTAGACACTCCACTTTTGCTATTTTGGAATAGCCCCTCACCAGGGCCATTCTAAGTTACTCCTCCTGGGGCTCTAAATTGAGATAGCATGTCTACATTAGGGAAGCCTGCCTTGCACTAATTTTGAGGCTTCCCTGCAGTGTAGATGTGCTATTTCAGTAGAAGCTATTTCAGAATAACTATTCCAGAATAGCTTATTCCAAAATAATTTTGCAGTGTAGACATAGCCATAGTGTGCTCCTATGGAGCTCTTTCTAAGATCAGGACCTCAAAATTCCAGTCTATGTCCAAAGATGTGCAGCTATGAATCCTCTAATTGAGAAGGAGAAAGAATGAAAGTTGTTGTGGGTTTTTGTTTTTTTAAATCACTATTCTTTTCATTTATTTTAATCTCTTTACTGCTGTTAAAAGGTCATAAAAAGCTAAAATCAAATTATCCTCTTTTAAAGCCAAACAATTTAAACTGCTAGTTGATTGTCTGCATGACTGAGCAAATGTATCCTACAATCATGCATTTGGGCATGCAGCTGTCTGATCTTCCAGGATCGCTAGTTCAAGATCAAGAACCAAATTCTGCCCTCCGGGGAGTATCTGCCCCTCCCATTAAAGTCAATCCAAATTCACAAATGAAACATTTACCAGTATTTACTGAATTGATACCCTAATGCCGGAGAACATCTCTTTGAGTAGCTCAGACACAGGCAGTATGCCTGCACTAGTCCTATGCTGTTACCCAGGTGATGGCTTGATCATTTTTAAGCTAATTAGTACATGTATCTGAACCACAGAGATTGTGGCTATGGCTTAATTACTATACTTAGATGTATGTTTACTTGCATTGTAACAAGCTTTATACATTGGGAGTAAGCAATATTCCCAAATGGCCATTAACAGTGCAGAGACCATAAAAAATAATCATAACTGCACTAAACTGATTGTGCACTGCTCATTACTGCCTAAGCAAGAAGCTGCATCCTTCATGCAGAGTAGGAGAGAAGCACACAGCTCAAGGAATTAAGTATATAGTTTTCATTGGTGCTGAATATCAGTAGCTTGCACTGACTTCATCTGGAGTCCTGGGGCCTGAAGTCAATGGGAATCTTTCTACTGACTTCAGTGCCCTTTGGACCAGATTCTTAATGGTGTAAAGAATTCAAATTTTAAATAATTAACCATATTGTGATATTAAACAACAGAAAATCAGGGTAAATGGCTAAGTACATTATTTGTGCTTAATACCTAATTAATTTGTAATTTACTATTTGGCAAATTTCAGAAGGCATTAGAAGTTCTAAAATTGATCAGTGTATATTTAGAGTACACAATTAATTATATCTAGATGTGTGTCTGAGCATGAATACTATTGACTATGATTTGTTGTTATGCCTAGGGAAATAATTGGGCATTTAGGTCCTGGTCCAAAAGCCACTGAAGTCAATGTAAGTGTTTCCATTGGCTTCAATGGGCTTTAGAGCAGGACATCAAAAGAGCCAGGGTTAGCCTTGTAAGTGGGTCTGCAGCTGCAGCCCTTTGCATGTCTGCAAATTCCCTACCTCACAGAGGTTTTGTGAGGATAAATACACTTTTAGGTTGCAAGGTGATCCAATATGATAGTGGTGGAGGCTATATAAGTGCCTTGGATAGGCCAGGGGTGAGCAAAAGGGCCTCCACAGGCTGGATCTGGCCCACCAAGTGAGTTGATCTGGCCCACGGACGTCCTGCCGCTCCCCTGCTCCCAGGCCAATTAGGGCCTAGAGGCAGAGGGAGGTGCACAAAGTTTCCTCCACACTTCCAGGAGCATGCGGCGCTTTGAAGTGCTGCACGCTCCTGACAGAGCAGGAGGAAACTTCCTGTGCTCCCTCACCCCTAGGCCAATCAGAGCCTGGGTGTAGGGGGAGCACGTGCAGTTTCCTCTGCCCTGCCCCTGCCCTGCAAAGCACTTAGAAGTGCTGCTCACTCCTGGAAGGGCGGGAGGAGGCTTCATGTGTTCCCCTGCCCCCAGGCCCTGGTTGGCCGGTGGGTGAGGGAGCACAGGAAGTCTCCTCCCACTGCCAGGGCATGGTGCTTAGTGGGAAGGGAGGGGAAAGGGCTCCTCCAACCTCAGACCAATCATGGTCTGGGGGTGGGGAAGCCCAAAGCATCCTGGCCATGCTGCTTCCTTTGGAGACCCTGCCCCTTCCTTCTGAGACCCCACTTTTTTTGAAGTGGCCCCTGGCAAAAGAAGATTGCCCACCCCTGGGACAGGCAGAATTCCCAGGATTTCAGTGGGATTCTGTACACACTCAATGGTGCGTTTGCACATAGACCTTGATTCAACAAGAAAATCAAGTACATGCTTAACTTAATGGGACTTCATCATGGCTACTAATGTGCTTAAAATTAGTCACATGCCTAAGTGTGTGCAGGGTAAGGCCTAGCTACTGACATTTAAACAAAAAACTCTCATCTTGATTTGGGTAAGCAGGGGATGGGTTGCCGGTAAGGTGTAGGCTCTGGGAAGGAGTTTGGGTGCAGGAGATGTAGGTTGTAGGATGAAGTTTGGGGGGTAGAGGGGCTATTGGAAGTAGTTTTGGGGGTAGGGTGGGAGCTTGGGCTGGGCAGGGAGTTGGGAAGCATGAGAGGATGTAGGGTGCAAACTCTGGGATGGAGCTTCAGTGCTGGTTCTGGGTTGGAATGGGGGTGGGGTGAGAATTGCAGGCTCTGGGAGGGAGTTTGGGCTGTTGCAGTGTGGGCTGGGGCAGGGCATGAGGGTACAGGAAGTGGTGCAAGTCATGGGCTGTGGGAAAAGTTTGGGGTAGAAAGGCCTGTGTGGGAGGGCAGCAACACTTAGAGTGGCTCCCATAAGTAACCCTCTGATAGCTTTCCCTAGGAGCGGGGGCTGAGGGATCATTGTGTACTGCTGCTCCTATGGGTTTTGGGGGAGTTTTTGGGAGGGGGCAACATGAGGAGATGCACACATACCCTGCCCAGGGACCAAGGGGACATTTCTGGAAAATCATGCCAGTCTAGACGTAGCCATTGGCAAAAAGCTACTTTTTCCTCTTTACCCTGTCAGTGGTAGTGGCCGACCCTTTTAAGTCCCCAGGGGAAACAGACCAGGGGAGGTACATGAGGCAGCACATGCAACTGTGGGAGGAGACCTGATCATGATTTTTGGTGGAACCAGAATCCCGGCCCTAGGATAAGAATATTCCTGAAGCACAGACACCACAGGCCTATACATCCCTATACATGCCCCTGCCCATAACAACAAATTGACACAGACTTGCCTGTTCCAACAAGGGCCTATATTAAAGATCCATGTTTAGCTAATAGTTGTTTTTCCAGATTAGTGAAACTAGTGATTAGTGAGATACTGTCACTGTTTTACTATTAACTTTGATTTACTAAGAATTATGTTTGTGACATTTGATTGTTAGTTTCATAAGCTTTGTCTACCAATTTACACTTAATTCAATTCTTATTACCAATTGGAACTCTGTACTTTTTGTGATTTTATGCTATTTTGTTTAATAGAACTTATACATATAGAAGGGTAAAAACTGCTTCTTTATTCATTTAGCTATTGTGAATTTCAGTTGGGGGGGGTGAAATCAGTCATACGTAAATATAACTCTAGTATTTCACACCTGAATCTTTCCCAGGAGTGAACGAGAGAACATTGATAGGTGGGTAAACATACACTGAGAAAAAAGGATATTTCTGCCAACTGGAAACAAGCATCTGACAAGTAAATAAAGCTTCAAGATATAGATTACAGAAGCAATCTTTAAAATTAAAATGTAGACATTCAATGTCAACATTTGGCCTTGCTGAATCAGCAGCAAAGGCTTTCATTTAATTAGTCCCCTCTCCCCGACTCTCAATGCTTTCCTCATATTTCTCAGCTGACCCTTGCTATCTGGCTTACAAAAACCTGACAATGACTCACCTATAACCATAAATTATTGACATTCAAACAGCTCAATTTTGTAGCTAAGCTTTATCAAATAAATATTACAGTAATGTGTTCTACAAACGAACCCTAAATGTTACAGTAGCAGTGATGTTTCAACATGAGGATTTCTGGTGGACAGGCAAAAAAGGAGGAGCATTAGGGAACCATCAGGGAAAGTGCCAGAGAGAATGCAATCATAATAAAGGATCAAACAAGCCAATTTTCGTTATGGATCAAGACTTAAGCAGTTATAACAAACCTGGATAATAAAGTTAGCATGGTTTAATGTAGGAGGGAAAAGGGTAAGTTGGCAAGAGGTACAGACAACCCACTTGTATTTTAAAGTACAGTCCGACGTAATAGTTATTTTATTGAGGATCCATTTTGTGATTGTTTTGTAGGAATGCGTAAAGCACAGTGTAATGGCCCAAGGACACTCTGTAATGATAGAATATAGCGATAAATGTTTTCTCCAGCACCCTGTACACAACTGCACTTATTGTCTCACGATTTCCCTCCTTGTTTTATTGAATTTTTTTTTCTTGAGTGCTTCTGCTATTGCCAGCCATCTGCAGATTCAGACATTGAGCAGGAGAAGCTGACTGAAGAATTATCTCTTTCCTCCATTTCTTGAATGGAGCTATGTCAGAGATGGCATTGCTCCTCACGCTTGCCTAGACATCCTTCTGCCCCATCTGCCACCTCCTGTCGTTTTTTAATTGTCATTGAAAAGGAATCCAGTATATGCTAAGAAAGTGTCCCCAAAGGGGGATTCCTCAAAATACTGCCAGAAACATTCCACTTTATGGGGACACACATTTATCTCTCTCTCTTTCTCTCTCTCTGGAAGGTAGAGCCATGCGTGCATGGGTAGAGGCAAGCCCCCAGCCCCACTCCGCCACAAGAGGCCACACCCCTGCCTCCCACAGTCCTATGGGAGCCAAGCACACCCCCCCCACACACACACACACACTGTAGGGCAGGCCACCCATCTACCAGCAGGTCAGCCTTTCCTTCTATCAGTCCAGGAGCATAGTGGAAGGAGGGGAAGGGGAAGGGAAGAGCAGGCGGCACATGGTTCCAGCCACTTGCGGCCCTGACAGGACAACAGCAGAGAAGGAGGGTATGTGGCACACAGCTCCAGCCTCCCTCTGCCCGGGAAGTGGCATTCAGGAGAAGGAAGGTGGGTGGCACACAGCCTCAGCCTTTCTTGGCCCTACTGGTGCGGAAGAGCATAGGGCAGACAGCTTGCAGGTCCAACAGAAGTACGTGGCATAGGGAAAATGGCGCACAGCCCCAGCCTTCCCCAGAGCACAAGGAGGGCTGTCTCTCCAGCCCCGGGGCATAGGCTATCCCCCTAACCCCAGCATTTCCAATCCAAGGAGGGCTAGCAGCACGCCCCCCTTCCCCTCCCATTCCAGCCTTGGCAGGGCTGAAGCCTAGACAACTCCTGGAGACTGGGTGGAGACATGCTGAAGGGAGGCAGAAGCTGGGCGTTGAGTGTGCCTAAAGGCCAGCCAGACAGTTTGGGAAGGCATTGCCTTCCCCTGCCTCTTATACTCACCACCTATACCTGTGCACATATGACATTTTGTATCTGCATCCACAAAAATGAGCTGTGGATATCCTCATTCGGATCCACATCCATGGATGAGTATACCTGTGGACGTAATGCAGATATCCATAAATTTGCTGCACTCGATAAACATGATTGTGTGTCCTGCTGCTGTGTTGAAGATCCTGGTCAGCAACTAAGCAATAAATCTCAGCTTTTTCATCTCATTCTCACACAGATGGTGCAAGCTATTGACCTTTATTTTTGCCTTTTTGTGCAGAAAGCTAGAGGAAACAAATATAATCAAGATCTACTTACTTTTAGAAAAAGAAGGGAACTTCAGATTTTCAGAGCACTGCTCCTCAGTCATTTCCCCAAAGTATTTGTCAGGGTTTAGAACAAAGTCAGGCTTGTTCATTTCAACCACCTTCTCAAGGGTTCCGATTTTTAATGATCTAAATGTGCCTTTAAATCAGCACGATTATTGAAAAAATAGAATTAATTCCATATAAAAGCCCAGTTATGTTTATAAGATAAGGTGTTTTTTCTTGTCTAGCTAAATATTACTCTACATTAGCACATGATAAAATGATATATTTATGTAGCACATCTCAACCAAATCAATGGACACCCAACCTCCTTTATGTCCTATAAGCCAAAGTAGAGCTGCCTAACGTGTACCCACAAGAAATAAATATGCCCCCATCCACAAATCATGTAGCTCACTGAGTTCACTGAAAACTGGACCTATGTCTCCACCTAGATCCTTTCTACCGGACAGCAGGTTATATATGAGTGCAGGCATCTATTGTAAGGTGGCCCAAGGAAAAGACTAGAACCATTTTTAACTTGCTATCTGTAAAACAACTCTATTACCTTTGGTTCTGTTCAGGCTTTCTTCCCAGGAAAGACCCCATAAAATTCTGTACTTACAGATGCAGGATAACAACTACTGAGGTTATGTCGTCAAAATGGCTGTTTACCAAATGAGTTTTGCAAGGCCTTCCCATTGAAGAACTTATATTTCTTTCTTTTCTGGGTTTTGCTTTCTTTGTAATTTTTACCCAATATCGTGTTTTCCCATGGACTGATCCTAGAAAAATAAAAGTGAAGTGGCATTTTTTGAGTAAAATTTAAATGCAAGAACAAAAGTGACAGGCATTTATTTTGTCTCCTCCTGCCATTTCTATTTTCATCCTTTGTCGAATATGTTTTCATGCATTCAAAGGGTTATACCTTTCTTTGTCCACATACATCTACACTGCACAGCTAACAAGCCGCCCATTATTTTGAAATAATTTTCAAAATAATGGGCACTCTATTTCAGCATCCCCATAAACCTTGTTCCACAAGGGTGATGGTATGTGTCGAAATAGCGCTTTATTTCAAAATTTGGCACTGTGTAGATGCACCAAATCTCTAAATAGCCTATTGCGAAATTCAATTGAAATAAGATACACAATTTGCATAGCGCAAATTGCATGTCTTATTTCAAGTTTAGGGTGCTGTGTAGAAACACCCATAGTGATTAAGTGTCAGAATACATAGAACATGTGTATAGCTCCACATGGCTCTTTGTGTCAGTAACCATATGCTACATGACTACATATTTTCTTATGGGGCCTAATTAGAAGTCTATTGAAATCAATAGAAAGGCTTCCATTGATTTCAATGGACTTAGGATTGGACCCATAATCATTTTTATTATTCATGTGTAAAATGATAAAATTATTCAAGTATAAGGCTGGATATTTAGTAAAAACAAAAACAAAAAAACCCACGAATGACTGCAAAAGTCCCTTTGTAGTGAATGAGACGTTTTCTTTCACTAAGAGCCTATGAGAGAAAGTGCTTTTAGGCCATTTTCCTAGGCTCCAATCCATCCTCATAGATGCCTTGTGACTATAACTGGGCAGAGAAAGGTAAATCTGTTTTGTGATGGATTTAAAAATTTGGAACTCTTTTCCTCCGCCCCCAAGTTCTCTGAAAAAGGGAATTGGGTACCAGCTCTGGGACTGACACAGCTTTTCCCAGAGTTCTAGACCTGGAGCCCCATGCTGCTAAGAAATTAACTAGGCAAATGAGCTAGCAGGAAACTTGGCAGGCGGATGTTCACTGGAAACTTTAGCAAAAACCAAACCATCTCTATGAAATGATTTGATTCTGTCAAATCAGTAACTTTTGAGAAATGGGGTTTTGTTGGAATTTTTCGGACCAGCATTACTTTCCAGATTCATTATCATTCTGTTAATAAATAACAAATAGGATTATGAATCTACTACTTGAGCTACAACCTCATGATAGTAAATCAGTGCTTTTTTTGTTTAAAAAAAAAAAGGTGATGGTACTCCAGGGGAAAAGTTGTTGAGCTCTGACTGGAGGTGCTGGTACTGCGTATTGGGCAGTACCATCACAAAAAAAGCACTAGATCTACAAAGAGAACATGCTGTAAAGGAGTGTTCCGATCCTTTTAATGCTTTGAGCCATATCAACATGCCCTAGTAGTAAGTACTGAAAGCCCCCACTTCCCATGCATCTGGTCTTGACTGAAGGAGTAACTGCTCCCAAGTCTACATACTAGTGAAATATTTACTAGAGTACACAAACGCTATTCTCCTTTCTTATACGCTTACAAAGGGGTATTCGATTTGGAACAATTCCATCTCTTTTTCTTCAGATGCTTCTGAAAAAAGTCAAATTCATCTCAAGAGAAGTCTAATAAACCACCTGTTCTGCTCCAGGGTAGAAGGGTAATCTGGTGCATCTCCAAGCACACATTCAGTATCTTTCTGAAAATAGCAGAATCTGCTTCAATACTGAGCCCAGAGATGTTGTTGGAGAGCATTTGACGATGTTTAAGTCAAGGCATGTGCTTATAATTATATTTCCATGGTTCAACTTGGAATAATCTTAGCAGTTTTTTTTTTCCATTTTCTATGGACCTGTTGGATATAGGAACTGATTCAGATGTCATTTACCACACAGTAAGGGTGTGTCTAAACTACACCCCTCTACCAACAGAGGGATGTAGATTAGGCACATCTCTATTGCAAATGAAGTTGGGATTTAAATATCCCGCGCTTCATTTGAATAGAAATGGCCGCCGCTTTTTGCTGATGCAGCACTTTTCTGGCAAAAAGCGGCAGTCTAGATGGGGATCGGTCGACAAGGAAATCTTTTCCGACCGATTCTGTAAACCTCGTTGCACGAGGCATAAGGGATATTTACCACAGTAAATAGTTACCACTTGTTCTTTAATCCTTAAGAATGTACCACTATGTTCTGAACAATCTTATCTGCCACTAAAATGCTGTTAATTTTAATCCATTTTGCTCATACTTTATTGACGTTATGTGACATTTTTAATAATATCATGGAAGAATATAACCTTTTAAAATCTTTTATAAATGTTAATCTTTTCTGCTATTACATTACAGAAGTTATTCAAGCCAAAGAAGGACTTGTGTATAGTTTAATTTTACTGCTCTTATGCCTTAACACAATCCATGTTATAAATGTCATTAAAGATTTAAATGTTTAGGCATACACTGTATTTTCTCAGAGAGAGGCACGTAACTACTTGAGCATTAAGAACAAATATAAACCCTCCTAATGGGAGGTAATAAATTGCACGTTTATTATGGTTATGACAGAAGAACAGTGTAGTCTAAAAATATATCACAAAAGTAGCATATAGTTTGCCAAGAAGTAATCCAGATACAGAGAATTTTAAAATGCTTAAGCAAGCTGACACATAGCACACTACAGCTCATTTTAGGAAAGGAGCGTGACCGGGGATGCTGACAAGGGTCGAGGAATAGGGGCAGCTGCCTTGGGGCCCAGCGATTTGAAAGGGACCAGGGCTCTGGTCCACTGTCCCTGCTACCTTGGCAACAAGCAGAGCCCCAGATCATTTTAATTGCCACTGGAGCCCCCAGTAGTGCATGGTCTGCAGTGTTGAAGGGCTGGCTGGGGAGGCCCCAGCCTCACCTCTTCTGCCGAAGGCCCCACCTTGACTTGGACTCAGGACACCTGAATTTTGCTCTCAGCTCTTCCACTGGCCTGCTGTGACAGTTCCCTCTCTGTTCAGTTATAATGTATATAAAACAGCAACAGAAAGGGGGAAATAGAAAGTAAAATCAAATTTAACCCCTTCATAAGGCATTCTGAGATCTACTGATGAACAGAAAGAGCTAGGTGGCATTATAGCACAGGGATAGTGTGGCACTGCACTGTCTCATGGGATGTTACACCCAGAATTCTGTGCAGAAACATTGCTGCTCTGTCCCTTCAAAGGTACCTGATTTTCTGACTGAAAATGAACCTTTTGGGGGCAAAATTATCATTTTCTGTGGAAAAATGTCCATTGATTTTCCATCAGGCAACAAACCACAGTGAAACATTTCAATTTTAGGAATGTAGAAACGTTTCATTTTGATAAAAAATGAAGAAATGAAACATTTCAAAAATTCCAAATAAAAATTGTTTGCCATTTTTGTTCACAATAAATAAAGACATGAATACATCCAAAAATCAATTTATTTTGTTTCAGTTTGGAATGAAAATAAATATATCTAAAAATATGCCAAAAGCTACCTTTGCAAGCCCTCTTTTGATAAATGACTTACATGTTTACAGATTCCTCATTGCCTTCCATAACTAGTGTAGCTTGTTCTGGAGAGTTAGGAGATGGCTCTACTTCAAGAGCGGGGGCTTCTTTTTTCTTTAAAATGTCAACCTTTTCTTCCCTTTGACTCATATTTTTGTCTTGATTTTGCTCTCCTTTAGGATGTGAAGAAGCATTTTCAATTTGCCAGTGTTTTTCCTAATAAAGTTAAGCAGAAAGTATTTTAAAGTCATTCAGAGCTAAACTATTTCTTTTTATATTTTAACCCCCTTTCCTATACAAGTACCTCAGATGCAAAGTTTTAACACAGCTATTGGTTTTCATAATTTTCTTACACACATACATAAGCAACTAGTCTTCTGGACCCAGATCCATATTATTTACATTATAATAGCCCGTAGAGGCTACACCCAAGACTCCCATTGTGCGAGGCACTGTAAAACACAGAGATATACACAAGACTCTGCCTTGAAAAACTAATAATTTCAGCAAGTTCAGCAATATGTCTCCCCCCCTCAAAAATTATAATTTAGGGTACGTCTAGACTACATGCCTCTGTCACCAGAGGCATGTAGATTAGGCTACCCGACATAGTAAAATGAAACAGCGATTTAAATAATCGCCGCTTCATTTAAATTTACATGGCTGCCGCGCTGAGCCGACAAACAGCTGATCAGTTGTTTGTCGGCTCAGTGCGATAGTCTGGACGCGCGGGTTGTGACATCAAAGGTATTTGTCGACCACCCAGGTAAACCTCATCCCAGGAGGCTTACCTTATGGAACCACAGGAAACTTGGCTACACCCATGATAAGTGGATATCCAGCTAACTAAAATCATGCCAGACCACAGATGCTGCCAATTCAACCTATCCCATAAAGAATCAGGACAAAATTATCTCAACAGAGATATAAAACCTAAATTACTTCATCAAGAAAATTGCCCCATACATCGCTGCCGACAAAGGGCTTTGATGTCGACAGGGGGAACGTCCAGACTAGCGCGCGAGCCGACAAACAGCTGATCAGCTGTTTTTCGGCTCAGCGCGGCAGCCATATAAATTTAAATGAAGCGGCGATTATTTAAATCGCTGCTTCATTTTACTATGTCGGGTAGCCTAATCTACATGCCTCTGGCGACAGAGGCATATAGTCTAGACGTACCCTTAGTTTCTTATGAGAATAATGTTTACTTGGATTAAATTTTTCACATTACTGATCAGAAAAATTGAAGATACTGTACTTATTTCAACATATCAGATAGTTTTCTGTTTCAGCATTTCTGATTTTAAACTTTTCCAGAATTATTAATTTTACAAAACTTTCTGATATTTTGACTATATGTTTGACATTAAAAATACTACACATTTCTGTTTAGTTTGTCAGTGGAAGTGTTTGGGAAATGGATGTATCCCCTTTAAGTAGTGACAGACCAAATTACTATGATGGGGTGGATAAACCCCATACTGTAGAGTTAAGGACGCAGGAACAAATGTGGTCGGAAGCCCCATTCAACCAGACCTGCTCCAATTTGAGAAGGGACTCAAAAGGGAGTGTCTTCAGCACTAAAGGGTGCCAGGCAGAGAGAGGCAAAGCTGCACTCACTGCTGCAGAGGGACTATACCATGAAGGCCTCCTCATGGGGATGTCTACAGAAGGGAGCTGGGAATCACTAACCTGCTGAGATGCCCAGATTGCCAAGGACAGCCACCTGCCATGATGCAACCTGATGTTGAGGGCAGAGCAGTAGAGGAGGCCCGGGGAAGAATGTTTACTGGATCATGAGTAGCAGAATCCTGCTTTACAATGCTCAAGGGGACCGTAGCTGGGAAACCCAGTGAAGTGGAAAGACTCTGGTTTTCCTTACCCCTTTATCATTAGGTAGACTGTTACCCTTACACCTCACCCCACTCATAGTGACTAAATGTGATCTGTTATTAAATCATTATTTATTAATACAGCTATGGTGGTTTCACAATGATCCATTTGCTCTTCTTAGAAAACATGTCTCCATGATTCAGATATTATCAACAGGAGCAGAAACATGGCTTCAGGAGTGGTAGAAGGAATGGAAAAGTAAGTGGTGACTATAGCTGGACACTAAATAGTTTTCTTGCCCCACAAAAGTTTTCCAAATGAGGCAGAACAGGGACTTGAACCTCCCTAACCATTTTTTCTCTGGCTCATTGATACAAAGTTGTGTTCCATCAAGACTGAAGAGGTTGAGAGAAGCCTAAACTAAAATAGCCAGTAGACTGTGTTTTAAGACAGTCACCTGAGCTGTGCAGACCCTATTTCAAATCCCAACCCTGAATCAGTTTTTGGAAAAAGGGGAATATGCTTCTCCTTCATATTGACTAGAGGTTCCACCCCAAACTTAAGAAGCCTTCTCAACAAAAGTTGTATAAAAAACAACACATTTCCATTAAATAACAATGAGGCGTCCTTGTTTTATCATTTTCCAACTAAACAAACATTTTGTCAGGAAACTCCTGACCAACTCCAGTAGTGACTTAGTCTTTGCCCAAAACTTGAGTGAGACTGACACCAACCATTTTGAACTTAAGTAAAAAGTGTGGTAGCCACATGTATGTTTTCATTTGGATTCTGTTTTCCCAGCCAAGAATTCAAGTAGAAATGCCAAAATCTAAAGCGAAAATCTGTTCAAGATATTTCCACTATGTCATTCATGTACAGAATAGCAAACATAGTTAAACTGGATGGCCGATTTCCCCAGGACTTATCTGGCAGTAGAGAAACTGATGTGAAGGACCAGCAGCAAAATAATGAATTAAAACATCAACATCCTGGAAGTGAAACATGCTGGGTCAGCCAGCGCCACCCATAATAGTTGCTGAGAGGAATATTTCTACCTGACCAAATGTTCCAATTGTTGTACCATGCATATCACTAAGAACAACACGGCAGTCTAAAGAGGAGGAGAGGATGAGTAGGCAACTGCTTCGCATACATGTCTCCAGAGAAGTAACACAGTCATCATGTGGCTGAAACGATCTTATCAGAGTAGGTGGTTGGGTTACTTTGCTCTCACTGGAACTGAGGCAGTAGTCCTGGTAAAAAGAAAATGGTGGTTATCTGAGGAAGGGGGGGGGTATTTTGGAAATGGGAATCAATGGACAGGCAAACCCTGCCCTTGAGAGAATGATGGAGACAAATCTCAAGATTTTCTTCTTCTTGGGTTTTAAAGAACAATGTGATACTTCTGCCAGTCAGACTTTGTATTAGGTGCATGGCAATAGGCACCAGAGGTTCTAATCCAGCACCAATTGAAAGAATCTCACTGACTTCAGTGGATATTTTGGGTCCAAGTTTGAAAATGTTTATCAATCTTTTTCCTTGCTAAAAAACAGGTAAAACCCAACTCAGATGCATTTATCCAAACCAACTGGGAACATGAGAAATACAAAGAGAGAGTCAAATCTTTTATTGTACCTGTATATACCATATTTTCATCCATCCAGCTATATCCCCCGTTATGAGGTATTGACTCATTTTATCAATGGTCATGATAATGGATCCAACTCCGCTGTGGGCTTCAAACTGGGCTATGAGCTGGCTTTTAAAAGTATTCCAAAACCTAACATAGCCTGCACCTCCACATGACACTAAGTTTGCTCCACCTATAAATACAGAAATATGGCTGAATAAGCAGCAAAAATCATCAGCTTTCTTATATATAATATTTTAAGGGTGAGGATAACTGGTTAACCAGTTAACCAGTTACATCTCTAATAAACATTTGAGGGATGCAGTTCAGAGCAATACCAACAAAACAGAGTCTAATGCTAAAAAATGTTCCCTAGGGACCTGTTGTTAATCTTCTTCGTGTATATTGTGATACACTGAAATCTTTATGTAACTGATTTTCTTTATGGGTATGAAAGGAACCCTGGTCATTCAATTTGTAGATACAGAACAAATCCTAAGGAGCCATTTTAACAGCAGATTTTCCAATCATTGCAGGTGAATCTGCAGATGCTTTCCAGTTTGCTTTGCAAATACATGATGTTGACTCAGAAAACGCCTGTTAAAGCAGGCATAAAGAAATTATATTTTACATTCTCAAAGGCAGAGCTGCATATACCATTATAGAACCAAATTCTGCCATGACTTACATCTTGTGCAAGCTCATTGACTTAAGTGGAACTGCAGGAGGTATAAATCAATGCACAATTTGGATCTCTGTGTGTAGCCAGACTTCAGATACAAATGAGTTCAGCTGGGATATTTAAAATTAACATCAATGTGAGTTTTGGGGCAATCAAATCAAATGACAATGAGAATGGATACAAAACAAAAGATTATTGTTTGAAAAGCATTCTAACATTGTATAGGAGAAGTACTGTAAGGTCATTATTAGGGGGCAAGAAGAAAAAGAAACTGTGAAACCGATAATAAATTATCACTATTAATAATGAGCTCTTCCAAGTACTGTTGTTCAATATAGGCAAAGTAAGCATAGCCAAGATTCTAGTGTGTAGAAATTACTTTAAGGTACCTGTCACTGAAGTATTCTTTCTAGCTTCTAGGAACAAAAGCTTGGTAATAGCATTGTTGCACTCAGTGTCAGAATCATAGAAGTCAGCTACAGACATTGTATGTCTTATAGAGGATGTTCTTCCAGCAGAACTAAGCGGCTGTTGTAGTACCAGAGTATCTGTAAAAGGCATTCCTTATTATCTCTCTCTCTGTCTCTCTCTCTCTCTATAGATATATATATATTAAAAAAAAAATCCTATGGGATGACAAAATGATGTCATCATGTCACTCTGCATCGCACCTGACTCCTCCCTCCCTCCCCTTTCCCCAGTGATTGTGAGCTGGAGCTGCCATGCCACAGCCTCACCCTTCCCCAGCAGGTGGGGGGAGAGCATGGGGCCTGGCAAGGCCTCGGCCTGGCACCCCTTCCCCACCGGCAGCCAGAGGGAGAATGGGGGACCAGGCAAAGATTGCAGGGCCTGGCAAGGCCTTGGGCCAGCCCCTGTCCCCACTCTGGCAGCCACAGGGAGCACGCAGGGTCTGGCAAGGCCTTGGCCTGGCCCCGCTCTGCCCAGTGGTCATGGGGAAAGAGCCAGAGATGGTGTGGCGGGGGGAGGGGAGGGAGGAAAAAGGGTATAGCCAGGGCTGGCTGATCTTCCGCCCTGCCCAACAGCCAGGAGCAGGGAGGGGGCAGGCCAGGGCTACTACGACTCAGCCTGGCCCTCCACGGCTGGGGGGAAAGCAGGGCTGCCTACCCCCAGAGAAGGGGGTTGGCAAGCATAGCAAGCAGGGGCCAGCTGCCTACTAGGCAATAATAGGAGTTTGTGTTTATCAGTAGACATCTCAAAAACACTTGGCATCTGATTTTTTCCAAGTTTTTTTATGTTATTTTATTAATTCAAGCTGAACCTTCAGGATGTTCATGCTATTAAAACTATTAATATGAGACAAATTCTGCCACATTTACTCTTGGTAAACCACATCTTACTTTGGGAGTTCAATAGTACTATTTTGCAGAATAAGGTATTACTCAGCAGTGACCTCTTTAAGGAACACAAAATAAATTGACTAGCTCATTTTCTATTGCCAGCAGTTGGATCAATGAGTTGCATGCATAGCCTGTATGATGAATAAAGGCCTATCTGAACAGAAGTTTTCCCCAGTTATGGGGGCCAGATCTTCAGAAAGTATAAAAAATGACATAGCTCTATTAAGTCAGTGCAGATGTGCCAATTTACACTGAGCATCTGACACATGATCCCTGCAGAATGGTTTACTGAACAGCAGGACCATCAAGAGTCACTTAGTTGTAATATGAGACACATTGTCTGGACCAGATCATCAGCTGATTACAGTCAGTGTGGTTCAATGCAGCTATGTCAATTTACATCAGTTTAAGATCTGCTTCTCTGAGATTTCAACCCTGTAAAGACCATGAAGCTCTTATAGTTCCTTTGGCATATCTTCTGTAATCACAATATTTTAAGCATTCTGCAGTGTCTTGCTCATTATAAAGTAACAATCCACTGGCTATGTCTTTCCTATGTCCCTGTTTCAAGACAGGATATATATTATATTTATTCCCCTGCAAAACTTGGAAGAAACATTAAGAACATCTAAGTAAGAACTATAGAAAGTATTTATTTGCCAAGCCATTTTCCTTATGCTCAGATGTGTGTTATCATAAAATGTACTTCAGGCTAAATTGTGGAATAATTATAGATTTCCAACTGGCACGACATTTAATATATGTTATGCCACTAGTCTGTGCAAACTGTCAACCCAGTGAAGTTTTCAGGTTTTGAGCAGTCTCAAGGGCAGAAGCCTCCACAAGGTTCAGTTGATATTATTTATTATCCGACACTGAACAAGGCAAAAATTAAGGAAATGCTCCCTGGTGAAGGTAATATAGAAGTGCTTATGTCGATCTGTGACAATAAACAAAAGTAATAGCTTTGAGAGGTAAATAGAATAAATGAATGTGTATAAGGCAAGCACAACCTCCAGGCTGCTTTCTGTCACTCTGACAAGACAAGGGTATAAATAATTCCCCTAATCTCCACTCAATTATCAGCAATTTAGTGACACACTTAATATTATATACAGAGGCAAACAATATGTATGCTTTGCCTAGAGCTTGAAAGCAGTGCTGTTTCAATAAGATACTGACTCACCCGATTTGGATTTCAGAGATTTTTGGGGATCCAGATAAATTTTAAGGGAGGCAGTTTCTGTACTATTATTCCACACAACAATTTCGCCATCACAGCTCCCTGTATTAGGCAAAGAAAAGACATCATACTGTAAACTCAGTAGCCAATCTTGATCTTTCCAGCAGCTACAATTATTTTATTGCCAACACAACCATATTTTCCTTTTTGTACAGGATAGGTCACATTAAAAGGATTAGCAAGGCTTGTATTCCCTTGTATCTGTAACCTTTGGATGTTTAATCCTCTCCTACAAAGGTTGCTGTAAAGGGGATATTTCTCTGGTTTTATAAAAAAAGCAGACCGTAGAGAAATTGACAGATGCTTTCTAAAGCATCTAGGAGATTCCGATGCACATCTTCCATAAATTGTAATGTGCCCAAATCCCCTATGATGCTTTGATAATCTACCAATTCATCCTTTTTTTTCTTCTTCTTCTTCGGTATCTGATGAAGTGAGTTGTAGCTCACAAAAGCTTATGCCCTAATATCATAATACATATGTTAGTCTTTAAAGTGCCACTGGACTCCTTGTTTTTACCAAACAAAAAGTAACCCTTAGCATAAAGGACTCTCTGGAGCACTGTGATTTGGGGTGGATTCAGCAGCCAAAGGCTGGAATCTGTTTGCCATGATCAGGCCAGAATGAGGATGATGGATGAAGTTCAAATTCTTGTTTGAAGTTTAACAAAACATAAGGCCAGACTCATCCTGATTTGACACACAAAGTTGTTTGCCACACATTGGACCGGATGCTAATCTCATTTCCACCACTGGTGTAATTCACAAGCAGTCACTTGAGATGCCTCTGTAGGAGATAATTGTACAGCGCCGTCTATATTTGGAGCTGAGCTAGCTTTTCATCAAGCTAACGCACTAAATGTAGCATAGGCACTGGAACTTGTGCAGTGGCATGAACTCACCCTAGAGACCACTGCTACGCTGCTATTTTTAGCTCACTTGGTTATTGAAAGCTAGTGTGAGTGTGTCTACTTGGTTGGGAATCACACTCTTAGCTCTAAGTGCAGACATAGTTTAAGTGAAATCAGAATCAAGCCCATTGCATTATAGTGTTTAACTAAGGCAGTCTAGTGAGATTGGAGGGGGCTACTTATTAACATTTAAAATAACCAGAGCACATTCTTATTCTCCTTTCCCCAGGGCAAGAATAAATATTTGGGAATAAAAAAAAACCTGATATCTACTATTACCTAATTTAAATAAAAAGCTTTCCTTTTTGTCCATGTATTTATGTCAGAATGGAGGGACAGCACTTTCCTAACACTTCACTGACTGTGGCGTTTGCCCTCTCATCTCGTCACTTGTATGACTTCCTTTCTTCATTAACTAAAGATGGGCTATGAAGGAGGTGTCTGAATTTGCTTTAGTTTGAGGTGCTAGTTCAAAGCCAAACTAGAGCTAGGATTCAGTTAGAGATTGGAAGGCCCCAAAATCTCAAAAACTAATTTTATATTTCAGGCATCCTAGGCTTAAATATCACACGATTAGATGCTCATATGAGATTTCTGCCCCATGCAAACCAACAAAATAAATAAATAAAATCCCAGCTTTTGATCTAACTTATAATCAAACTCCTTTTTTCAGCACCCTCAGGACCTGACCTGCCCCAAATGAGGGAATTTGCCGGATCAGGTGAGTCCCGGATCAGCTGGCTCTGCTTTGGCCCAATTGCTACTGGGCTCCAGTTTGCAGGGCTTGGACTTGGGCTCCCCGGGAAATGGAGCTCCCCAGTTACTGTGGCTAGGGTTGCCAGGTATCCGATTTTGAACCGGACAGTCCGGTATTTTAGCTTTCTGTCCGGGAAACATGTGAGAGCATATCTACCAGCCAGGTAGTATGCAACTACGCAGTAGAGAGGAGGAGGAAAGGGGCGGCGCCAGAGGGGGATGGAATTCCTGGGGCCAGACTTGCCCATGCACCCCTCTGGGACCGTGCATGGGTTAGGCAGCACCCCAGGATCTGCATGCACCTGGGCCAGCCCCGCTCCGCGCCAGCTGGTTCCTCCCCCCGCTCCCCCCCCACCCAGCCCCC